GTAGGGAAATCACCACTTATGTTTAAGTGTTAAAACTGGCAAGAAAATAAGCATGCATCAGTGGTTTTGGACACTTTCTGCAAAAAACAGTGTTTTTTATGTTTATGGACCATTAATGCATAGTATATTTTTTTCTCTTGTGGAAAGAGAACATTTTCTTCCTATAAATCTCACCATTAATGCTATACTACGAATGTTTGTTTTCTTGGTAACCCATTGGACTACTCAACTAAAAGCTGCTCTGTGAACTCCTGACATGAGGAGGAAAAATCCAAATGATGTGAGGTTTTCAGCTGCTATATGTAATTGGCATGTGTTTTGTTTTATATATGCTTCAAACATGAACAGTTTTAACCACTAAACATAACAACTAATATATCCCAAAATATATAGGAAGGATATTTGAGTATCTTTCATTGGACTAATACAAGAACAAATGCTTAGCAGAAACTCAAGAGTAAAAGCTCTAAGTACCAGGTCATAGTTTAGTTATTAACCAGACTCTTCTCTTGAAGGTGACATACTTCACTTTGCATTTAATATTTACTGGATACAGAGTAGTGGGGAAGCTCCTCTTCCATTGGGAACAAGGCTCAAATGCAGGGCCCAAGGCTCAAAGCCGAGCCGCGCTGCACCCCTGCAATGCAACAGCTGCTGTGCAGATGCCAAGTGGAAGGGGGTGATCACCACTGCCCCCCAACAGCCCCTCGCTGCGCGGGGGGGCTCTGCCAGAAGCCCTCAGAGGCCCTGATCGCCGCTGCTGCAGTTGGTGAGCAAGGGCTTTTTTTTTCTTTTTTATAAAGTGTCGAGGGGATGGGGCCGGGCAGGGCAGCCATGGGGGCTTTGCCCGTGGCTCCTCTGGCTGTGCCTGCCTCTTTCCCGGCAGGGGGAACCACAGGAGAAGCCCCCGTGACTACCCTGCCTGGCCCCATCCCCTGCCTGGCCCCAGCCTCCCTGCATTTTAAAAGGAGGGCCGCGGGGCTGTGCCGGACTCTTCCCAGCGGGCATGGGCCCCTGGATCTGTGCGTGGGATGACAGCAAGCTGCCACTGCTGGCTGGGACCAGCACTTGGCATGGGCAGCACCAAGCAGACTCGGGTGCTGGTGCCGGCCCCAGCCCACAGTGGCAGCATGCTGTCATCCCGCATGCAGATCTGGGGGTCTGCGCCCCCCGGGAGGGCTGTGGGGCTGTCCCAGACTCCTCCCGGGTGGCACGGGCCCCCAGATCTGTGTGCAGGATGACAGCAGGCTGCCGTCTCTCCCCCAGAGCACTGGGATTGGAAGGGACCTCAGGGACAGATCGCAGACACTGGCCAGCTACAGATGTCAATATCAGAGCAGTCCTTCCCCACCCTCTTCTGAGTTTCTTCCCCACGAGCTCGACTCTGAAACATCCGAACCATTTCCAAAATGTGTCAGATGGTTTAATTTTGTTTCGGAGCCTTCTGTTTAGTTTCGGATTCAGTGTTTTGGGTGCCGAAACAGGCCGAAACACCTCCAAAATGAAACAGCTGCCGAAGTTTTGCACAGCCCTACTTAAAAGCACTGAATCGTCCCCAGTAGCACACCATGATGTACAATAAGACATCAGTCATTTTGAACAAACCTGCCTCTCTGTGGAGGTGGATAGACGAAGGACAAGTGGAAAGTACTATGACACAACATCACCACCAGGATCTACTTTTTCCTCCTGGAACTACATATCATATCTGTGATCAGTCATGGGGATCTTGGATCAACCTCCTCAGTCATCTACAGACTTACCGATGACTTCCTGATTTACTGGAAAACTTTGTATCAAGGATTGCCAACAACGACTTACTGCAACCTACCTCAGTGCTGCCTTGCCTTACTCTGCTAATGCTTTCCAGATCCAGGAAGCTGCCAGCACAGTTAATGGGTGTCATAGAGTGCAAGGAGTTCTGGAAATTGTAGTTTTGTAGAGCAGCAGTGACATTTGCTGTTGCTGCGTTGAGAACTTATTTTCCTGCTGAATTTGGCTTTTTTTTCTTCTTCTTTTTTCTTCCATGTCTTCTAGACGTGGACCTCAGTGGCCAAAAAATGGCATGAAAGTCCCTTCCCCCCAGCAGCAGTAAACTGTCACTCTAAGAAAACTATGATTCCCAGAATGCCTTGTACTCCATGACAGACAAGGTCAAACTTGGGATCTGTCTCTCTGGAGGAGTGTCCTTGTTGGGTGAAAGCCTTCTTAAGATTGGTGAGAAATGTAATATATCTCATCCAGTGCACCAAATGCCTCCAGAAATGTAATATTGACTCTTCATTCTACATTTTCACTGACTACCTGTCTTGTATGCATACCAGCCCAGCCTCTGGCTCCTTTACTTTTCATTCCATCCAGGAAGAGCACACACCAACTGCTGAAACTTCCTTAGCCTGACGAAGGGTTTTTGAACCCGAAAGCTTGCTTAATAATTGTTTTCCAGCTATTTAAGTTGGTCTAATAAAAGATATTAGATTCACCCAAAGAACCTTGTCTGCCTCTGTCCTTAGACCAACACGGCTACATCCTACACCCTTGTACTCCATGAGAAACACAAAACTGTTGGTTCAGAGGTGATATCTTTTAGAAGACCAACTAAAAAGTAGCAGAAAAAAAATTTTTTTGCAAGTTTTTGGGCACATGCACCTGTCATCAGGCTGAAGAGAAATTAAAGATTGTACAAGTCCTCTTAGGTAGAAGATAAACCCCATTTTGCACAGGGAAGTTGAGGCTGGAAATGTATTTCCCTGGGGATGTGAAAGTCCTTTTGTGAGAGAGTTGCTCTGTGATGTGCAGATAAAGTTGAAGTTTATTTTTCCAAAACAGGACTTTTACAATCTTTGATTTTTCCTCAGCCTGATGAAGGGTGTATGTGCCTAAAAGCTTGCAGAGAAAGAAAACGTTTTGCTGCTTTTTAGTTGGTCTAATAAAATATATCACCTCTGAACCAAGAGTCTTGTGTTTTTTCTTTTTCTCAGACCACGCAGCTACAAAATAGATCTCTGAAACATGGAAAATGTCATATTTTAGCCATTTTGGAAAAATAAACTTAATTGTTAAACAAGAAAGAGAGATTTTTGCAGCTCCCTGCCTGCTTCTGACTTTGGACACTTCCAGGGATGGAGAGAACCTTATCTGCACATCACGAAGCAATACTCTCACAAAAGGACTCTCAGATCCCCAGGGGAACACATTTCCAGCCTCAACTTCCCCTGTGCAAAATGGGGTTTATTTTCTACCTAAGAGGACTTTTACAATCTTTGATTTCTCCTCAGCCTGATGAAGGGTGCATATCTGAACGCTTGCAAAGAAATACTTTTTTTTGCTACTTTTTAGTTGGTCTAATAAAAGAGATCATCTCTGAACCAAGAGTTTTGTGTTTCTCTTTTTCTCAAACCAACACGGCTACAAAATAGATCCTTGCACTCCATGACACACACACATCCTGGCTCTCTACTTTGTTCCTGAATGAGAAGGTAGGAGGAGGAAAGGGGGAAGGGTGAGAGATGGCTCCCCAAGGTGCATTTTTTCCATGTCTCTTCTGCTGAATATAGGGAAGAGCCAAGGAACTGAGAGACTGCAGTAACTCTCAGACAGTAGTTTCCAAGCCACATCCAGTTTTTTAATTTTTTGTCTGCAGCTCTATGCAGAAAATATTTCATAGATTTCATAGACATCAGGGCTGGAAGGGACCTCGGAAGATCATCGAGTCCAGCCCCCCG